TTATTTGAACCAGAGAAGTTGAAGGGGGGTGGTTGGGTGAGTTCTGCCTCTACCTCCACAGTCCACAACTGATGTTAAGGGCAAGGGGATCAGGGGGGAGGGGGGTGCTCTGACTCTCAGGCCTGCAGGATTCGAGCGCTGCGGGAGAGGATTTGTAGGTTACCAATCGAAAATTAAGAAAAATGAAAAAAACGGCAAAAGTCTTCCAGAAAAATAAAAAATATATACTTAAAAAAACACGCTTTAATGAAATGTACCCTACTCGTAATGGCAGAACTCCACGACTCCAGGAAGTGGCCCCGCAGCTTACCATAGCGTAAGGGGCCGTGGTGATTTACAGGCAACGTGAGTTGAGCGTGGACAATTAGACCCGTAAAAAATATTGTTAAAAAAATATTTAAAAATTTCAAGGATAAAATATAGTATTGTCATCAGTATGACATACCTATACCAAGTTTGCAGTCGATACGGCATTGGAAAGACGGTTGAAATTGAGTTACAAGATTTGAGGATACGACAACAGACAGCGAGTTAAATAAAAGCGTGTTAATTTTTTTGACCAGGTAAGTCTTACTGTGCGTTTGTCGCTCTTTTTCAGAAGCGACCTGGCCACAAATGGTAGCTCAATAAAGTGGCTTATTGCGTGGACATGTATAGCAGCCAAATACTCTCAACGCACGTTTCCAAGTGTGGAGGGAGAAAACACTGGAGGACCCGAAATGCACGACCACGGGGAAAACAATAGATGTCTGTGCACGTATCTGCGGGCGTGTACGTATTTGTTTGCATGCATATTTACTTCTCTGTATGTATCCATGTGTATGTATATATACGAACACACATCCATTTTCGGTGTGTTCGTAAGTTCTTGGGGGGCCACGTTGAGATTAAATGTGGGGGTCACGTTGAAGACAAGGGACCACGCTCATAAACATGTAAGGAGACTCGACTACCCGCGTGTGGTTTATCCAATTTGCGGATTAACCGCGCACCTGAGATTTTAACGTAATTCAATACCTCATGGGTGAATAATATCAAAACAGTGATACATTTTTATTTTTGGAAATGTTTATTACAAGCCACGTGCTAACAACTGATCAAATATGTGCTCTGGTTAATCCGAAATCTACGTGATCGCCTCTACACTACAATAGTTGTATATATTTACAACAGTGGCCAAAGTTTGAATGCTTTTGATAGGCGTGGCTCTGCTGTTCACTGAGATAAAGTGCTATTATCATTAAACATGCACATCATTGATCGCACCATCGTTAGTATTCGTTCTAAATAGAAAGAGTCAGGACAATAATCATTCTTGATTTGAAGCTTTCGTGACTGTATGAATCCATACTCTTTGGTTCTTTCGGTAAAGTCACGTAGGTAGAAATGAAATAAAATAAATCACGACGTTTCGAACGCAACACAAGCGTTCGTCTTCAGGGGAAAATGGCGAAAGCAGCCGCGGAAATGGCGAGAGCAGCTCACAACGCAGCAGACATCACGGCTGCTCTCGTCATTTTCACCGAAAGACGAATGCTTGTGTTGCATTCGAAACGTCGTGATTTATTTTATGCCTACCTACATGACTTTACCGAAAGAATAAAAATCGTCAATTGCACTTCATTTTTAGTGATTCATCAGATCATTTATTTTGTGAGTTTTAATTTACGAATCTATGCGTTTTCAGAGAACTTAAACATAATTTATACATATGCAGTGTTGTCTGTGCGTGTGGGTGGCGTACGTCGACAAAAAAAATCCCTGGCAATCCCGTTACCACCGCAATGTGTGCCGCATCAACAACACGTTTCACTGCTCCCTGGTGCCCTCCCCCCCACCGATAACACTTCCTTACACGGCGTCCTCGAATTCGCGAATCGGCGACACCCTTCCAACACAGGAGGCACCGCAAACCCCCCCATACACACACGGCGTCCCTGAATTCGCGAATCGGTGACTCTCTCACAGCTCCCCATCCATGAACCGGCGACTCCCCCCACACACACGCGGCACATCTCCGTTTCCCCTTTTTCCCAGGCCCTTAACCCCAACACCCCTTCCCCCCCTGAGTCCCTTCTCAGTGCAAGGGAGAGTCCCCCCAATCGGGGACGTAGCTCATGTGATCCCGTCCACGGATGTGGTCACCCCCGCCATCTCTTGTAGATTCCACGCTGCGGACTCACACCTTGCCCACTGATGTCGCTCCTCGTGGACTAGGATGGTTCTGGCCATCGTTGAGGAAGAAATTTCAATGCCGATGTGCGGAGGGCAGGGCAACCCTCAATCTACTCGCCAGCCCCCACAGCCTCTCTGCCACATGATCCAACTCAGCAGCCTGGGTGTACCCAGGTTCCTCGTTCAGCTGCATGCATGGCCGCTTTTGGACCGCTAACACGGCTGCTTATGTCACACAAGGACATGGCTGATTTTGTTACACATGGACTGACATTGACTTGCTAGTCTCTCATTGACGTTAACATGCTATTCTCATTAACTTTGATCATTGACTTTAACATGCTATTCTACAAATGGACTGACATTGACTTGCTAGTCTCTCATTGACTTCAACATGCTATTCTCATTAACTACCTACGTGACTATACTGAAACTTAACTTTGACACGTAGACATGCAGCCGCCTACATGGCTGTTCTTGTTACACATAGACATGCAGCAGCTGCCGACACGGCTGCTTTTGTTACACGTAGATACGACTTTAATTTGCTATCTCTCATTGACTTTAAAATGCTATTCTCATTAACTTTGACTTGCTAATCCTTCTACAACCTATATAACCCCTTGCTTGTGGCTGCTTTCTCACCATTTTTCGCCTGAAGATGGACGCTTGTGTTGCGTTCGAAAGTCGTGATTTATTTTATTTAGGCCTACGTGACTTTACCCAAAGAACCAAAGAGTAGAGAGGCTTATCACCAAGAAGACCCAACCATCATCTACCACCATCACATACCCTTCCCGACACTGCAGCAGAATCTGCGGTTTTCGGATCAGCCTCTGCAGCCATCTTAAGATCCACAAACAAGATCCAACAGTAGGCCACTCATGCTTGACCCCGAGTGATCGCGGATGATGATAATTTGTCTATACGTTAATGCGTGTCTATATGTGCATATGTGTAGGGATCTCATTCCATAACATCTGGGTCTGTGCCGTGACCTGCTAATGGTGGGGCTCTTCCACACTTCACGTGGCCTCAAATTGCACCTAGCTTGGCACAATCACTGTGGCGACGTCACCACCACTTAGTGGCAAATAGTTTAAAATAGGCTTTCCCCTTTTTTCTGGAAACAAAACAGGTGTTAAGATGTTAAAACACCAAACTGAAACCTTTTACAAGGAATCATGTCGGCATTAACCACAATACCTGTGGTCAGAATGCAAACAAAAAACATACTCTGATAATATATGCATTGTTTTTTAAACTGATTGGTCCACACCAGAGACAGATTTATTTTGAGCCTAGTCTCAAAATGGTGTTAGAACTCAATTGTGATAGAATGTGTCGTAGAGCCCGGATATGAAAATTTCAGGATTTGACTAGATTTTGCACGTGGTGATCAAACGACATTCTGGTCGAGTATGGTGCTGAGGCTCCTTAGATGAGTAGATAACTAAATCCCGGTGTCTGCTACTGCCACATCTGATCCTCCCACAAATGTTTTCGTCTATGCCTGAGTGCCAACCAGCATAACCTCATATTTTTCTGGATTAATCAGCATTTTTTTCATGCAAACCACACATGCATCGCTCGCATGCAGCCTTCGATATTACAAAGGCTCTCCATATTTAACGTTGACTTCCCTGCAGTGTACAAGTGTGTGTCATCAGCAAATTGATGGAATTTGATATCATGCGATGAAATTATATCAGCTATTGGACAGATGCACGTTGAAAAAAGGAAGGACCCGAGGATGGACCCCTGTGGTATGCCGAAGAGGCACGGCATAGACGATTACTGTTCATCATCCAGCTTGATGAACTGTGATCGACCATTTATGTAAGACTCAATCCACCCAGTGCCATACTCAATATGGTGTTGAAGGCGGCTGAGATCGAGGCCAAGCTACGCTGTGGTGCACCAGTCATCAATTATCTTGGAAAGGTCATCAGTGATCTTTAGTAGAACCATCTCTGCACAGTGGAACTTCCCATCGCAGCGGCACGGGGAAGTAATCGCTATACGACCTTTGAAATCCTACTCAGGTTTGAGATCGGGTGGGTTCACAATGGCTCAACCCAACTCTTATCAGGAGCAGTGTTACCTGCGCAATTTTGAACCGGACTGGGAAACAGCCCTCGCTGAACGAAAGATTTGCCAGTTGGACAATCAGGGGCACAAGCACGTCCGACATGATTTGAGACTAGCACTGTACGTTGCCAACCGTGCTAGTTCGAGGTGTGTGGAGGAGAATAGTAGTAGGTTGTGTGATTGCCTGTATGTTGTACGTGAGAGGGGATGTGTGGAGGTAGCATAGCCATTAGCCGGCTACACTACACCCAGTGACCCGAGTTCGACTCCTGCTCACGGCCAACACCAGTGACGATTTTCCTGAACTGGTCCATGGGCCTCCCGTCGGTAGACTCAGCCTCATATGAGTACCTGGTGCGATGTGTACATGTCATCACTAGGGAGATAAAGGCGGCCGGGGGTGGTGCTGGCCACCCACCCCCTTGTGCGCCTGCGCCACACTTCAGAGGTGCTACTTGCTAACAGCACGTGCCTTAATAATCTGTAAAGGCTATACAGGGGATCTTGTATGCATATAGAGTATTTGCATGGTATGTGTTACTCTTATGTATTTGTTGGTGTAGGAGCGATAGTGTAGTGGTTAGCGCACTTCACTATGGGCGGTAGGGGGGAGTTGTCTTCGTGTGTTGTTTTCTCATTCCAATGAAGCAGTTTTTCGTCTCTGCTCGGTTTAAACCAGTGCATCCTGTTTCAACCCCACCATCACAAATAGGAGCTTATTGGTCAGTAACACACACCGTTCATTGTGCAGCTTGCTCAGAGACAGATACTCAAAGACACGGAGATATAGATTTATAGATACAGAGGAAAACTTAGGGACAGACCCAGGCTCACGAACAAAACCACACATCGAGACATACGTACGGAGATAAACACACACAAAGACAGCCACACACGCGCAGAGAAACAGAAATTTAGACACATACGCACAAATTTAAGCGAACAGAGTTATACGAGCACAGACTCAGAAACACACAGAGAGGCGCGCTTGGATACACACACATACACGTCACCATGGCATCTCCATATCCATCAGGACCTCTCCCGTTCATCATGTCCGACGAGGACTTCAAGTTCCATGTCAATAAGGAAACAGCTCAGGTTCTGACTAGAATCGAGAAACCAATGGTGGTGGTGGCGATAGTTGGAAAATACAGAACTGGAAAATCCTTCCTCATGAATCGACTGGCCCGCACGACGACAGGTGAGTGATCAGGTGAGGGGGTGATTCGGTGAGTAACTTCAGTTTAAATATAATACGAGACTGCCGCTTCACATAGCAAAAGTTTGTCCTCGAAAGTGCTTAATTAGTTATAACATTACATTTTAAGTTGCCCAACAAAACGAAGTCAAGCGTAATGGTCAAGGTGAATACATTTTAGCACTGCCTTTTTGTGTGCAACTATTTGTATTAACGTGGCCAGTTCTCTTCATGGTAACTCTGTAACAGAAAAAAAACAGCTGTACACGTATACTAAATATTTGCCTATATGTCATATTTCTGTGTCATCGCATGAGCTCTGCCGTGTTTCACACACAGATGGACATAAAAGCCAGTCTACCCCCACAGGAGCAGGGAAACCCAAAGAAGACAAGAAGCCCAACTATGTAACCAAAAGGTAAGAGATTAAATGTCATAATTTAATATAAACATACTATGTAATGTGGTGTTGTTTGCATCACATTCTTGTCAATGTGCTTCAGGTCCATAAAATACACACACGTCCATCTATATATTTAAAAGGGAAATTTTTGAATGTGTCTGTTCAAAATGTTTAGCGTACTTCCCGATATGCAACAAACTTGAAATTTGCCATGTGGGTACTTTCCAGACTGTACACCATGCAAAATTTATTAAAATACACTTTTGTAGAGTTTTTTTTTGGCGGGGGGGGGGGGCACAATAATGCACATATTTTGCATTGCAAGTGAGCTGTGACGTCACATCTGGCATGTCACCCGCGCATGCAGAAGCATAACGCAGTGTGCCTGCTGACGTCACGCATCCCCCCCCCAACCCTCCGCAAGTAAAGTGCCATACAAATATCTAAGGCGTTCTTCGCGCAGCATTGCTTTATTATTTCAGTCGCTTACTGCCGTACGCACCCTAAAAGTTGCGTGCGTCTGCAGCAAGCGCGTGTATGTGTACCTATGGACGCGCGTGTGTGTGGGGGAGTGGTAGTGTCGTGGTTAGCGTGCTGTGCTATGAACACGGCCACCACCGGTGACGATTATTTGAACCGGTCCTGGGCCTCCCCTAGGTCGACTCAGCCTCAAACGAATAACTGGTGTGGTGTGTGAACATCGCCACTGGGGGAACAAAGTCGGCCGGGCGTGGTGCTGGCCACCCACCCTCTCGTGTGCCGTGCCGCTTTCATAGGTGCTTGCTAGCAGCACTTGCCCCCTACAGTCTCACAGGCTACATGGGGGATCTTTGTCTTTATCCTGTGTGTGTGGGGGGGGCAGCGGTTCACGCGCTGCGCTACGAACCCGGCGACCCTAGTTTGCTTCCCGCTCACGGCCACCACCGGTGACGATTATTTGAACCGGTCTTAGGCCTCCCTTAGGTCGACTCAGCCTCAAACGAATAACTGGTGTGGTGTGTGAACATCGCCACTGGGGAGACAAAGGCGGCCGGGCGTGGTGAATCCAAGTCCCGGGCGAAGCCGGATAGAAAGACTAGTCTTCTTCTTCTCTTATATATAAAAGTCTCTGCGCACGCGTGCTTGCGAGGCATTTGGCTTTTGAGCGGTGGGGTTTATGTCGAAAAATGTTTGCCAGGCAGCACGCCCTAAGTGGACATATGCTTTTCCGTTTTCCCATCCGTAAACTTTAAAGTAGTTTAATTAGCAATTTTGTACTATTTTGCATTATTTATTTATCTCCATGCCCCGCCCAAGCTGCACGGGGGTTGCCCTAGCAACGCACGCCCATCATCGCTGGGGGGTGGGGGGAATTTCTCCTTCGCGTTCAGAATGCAACAAAAATACATGCAACCCTGACGGTACATTCATCAAAATGTCATGTCCTCTTCTTTCCCCTCCCACCCCCAATATGTGCACTTACTACTATAGGCTCGGTACATACTAATATTATAGCTGTTAGATAGTATTATTGTAGTATTATTGTAGCTCGGGCAGGGGGATGGTGGGGGGGTAGCGGCCCAACCCCCAGCCTGCCAATGTCTTACCTCCAATCGAGGCGAGGCCGCGGGCTCTGCACGGGACTAGGCCTCACTACGGCACTCTGTCAGGTGAGTACGTTGTGCTATAGAGTCCATATATACTGCTATAGAGTCAGCATGTACTACTATAGTGATACCAGGTACCACCACAGTCAGTATGTACTGTTGTAATCATACAGGTACCACCACAGTCGGTATGCACTGCTGTTATCAAGTTCAAGTTCATTTATTAGGTATAGCCCTGTGAGCCATTCGGCTCTTGAATCGGGTGTACCCGCAACAAACAAAAAACAAAAAACATAAACAAAAAACATCTTAAAGTGAATATGTGACGAAGTGCAAACAGAAAATCCAAGAAAAGACAGCAAAATATTGCATTAAAAAACACCGTACATCAACGCTGTGTGCAAAAATCCCAGTGGGATGCAAGTCAAACAACAACAACAACCATAAGACAACTTAGATTAAGGCCATCAGTCTAACTCTGTACTACAACAAACAAACATGGCTAAACCAATACACTTTTCGAAATCACCTAAATAAAGCCATGAAAGCAATGAAAAAGCAATCGTAGGAACTGTGATGGAATTTTCAAAATAAATGGCATAACGTACTACCATAACCCTGCAGCCATAGCTGGCTGCATGAGCCACTCCACAACAGCAGGAGCATCAATCGGAGTATTATAATTTTTCAATGCACCTTTTAAGATCAGCACACTAAATCAAAACACAGGTCATACTTTGTAGCGATCATCCGGAGCGAAACATTTTATTTTAGGCCACTGAATAGCACTGGCAGCTAGGGGTGTGCAACTCCTCTAGAGCCGTTTTGAGTGAAGATCTCATAGGTAGTGACTCAAGTTTCAATTTTTTGGCAACAGAATTCCACAGACCCTGGGGGCATCAATAGCAAAGGCCCTTCCAGTATATGTACGGCAATAGGGAATATTAAGCTGGTAAATGAGTGTAGACCTTAGGTCAAATTTGTTCTTTGAAACAGAGATGAGATCCAGCAGGTAATCTGCGGATTTTTTTGCAAGTACATCATGAATAAATAAGATCTGGTGCACAAGCCGTCAAACATTCAGAGATGTTAAGTTTGACCCAATGTAGATATCACAGTGGTGAGTCCTATATGGGCAGTTCAATGCAAATCTTAAGGCCGAGTGATACATTGAGTCAAGCTTCTTCAGTACAGTACTTGGGGCTGATTTATACACAATGTCACAGTAATCAAGTAGAGGCAGTATGGTAGCTTTTATCAATTATGAAACCAGATACCACCACAATATGCACTGCTGTAATCATAGCAGCTCCCACCACGCTCAGCATGCACTGCTCTAATCATAGCAGGTACCACCACAGTATGCGCTTTCGTGATAGCAGGTTCCACTACAGTCGGTATGCACTGCTGTAGTGATAGCAGGTACCACCACACTCAGTATGCACTGCTGTAGTTAAAGCAGGTTCCACCAACGTCGGTATGCAATGCTGTAGTTGAAGCAGGTACCACTCCAGTCAGTATGCACTGCTGTAATAGCAGGTACGACAGCACGTGGTATGAACTGCTGTAGATATAGCAGGAACCACCATAGTCAGTATGCAATGCAGTAGTTAAAGAGGTACCACCAAAGTTGGTATGCACTGCTCTAGTGAAAGGTACCACCACAGTCAATATGCACTGCTGTAGTGATAGCAGGTTCCACCAACGTCGGTATGCACTACTGTAATCAAAGCAGATACCACCACAGTTATTATGCACTGCTGTAGTAAAATCAGGTATCACCACAGCCGCTATGCACTGCTGTCGTGATAGCAGGTACCACCACAGTCAGTATGCACTGCTGTAGTGATAGCAGGTACCGCCACAGTCGGTATGTGCTGCTGTAGTGATAGCAGGAACCATGAGTCGGTATAAACTGTTGTAGTTAAAGCAGGTCCCACCACAGTCAGTGTGCACTGCTGTAGTCATTGCTGGATACCACCACAGTCAGTACGCACTGCTTTTGTTAAAGCAAGTACCACCACAGTCAGTATGCCCTGCTGTAGTGATAGCAGATACCACCTCAGTCGGTATGCCCTGCTGTAGTGATAATAGATACTGCTATATAGCGTTAGTAGATACTAAAACAGTCAGTATATACCACTACAGTCAGTCAATTCTGCTACAGTCAGTAGATACTACCATACAGTCAGTAGATACTACTATGGTGAGTAGCTACTAGAGTCAGTAGATACTACTATAGAGTGAGTAGATACTGCTATAGAGTTGGTAGGTACTACTATAGTCAGTGGATACTACTACAGAGTCAGCAGATACAACTATACAGTTAGTCGTTACTACTATAGAGTCGGTAGATACTACTGTAGGGCCAGTAAATACTACTACGGTCAGTCGTTACTGCTACAGTCAGTAGATAGTACAATAGGGCCAGTAGATACTACTTTGGTCAGTAGTTACTACAGTCAGTAAATACTGCTATACAGTCAGTAGCTACTACTAACTCAGTAGATACTACTGTACAGTCAGTAGATACAACTACAAAATCAATATATACTACTTATTATGTTGTTTGTAGTGTGTGTAGGTATATATGCCTACGTGGGTGTAAAAATATTTTTTGAGGGGGGGGGGGGGTCGACAATTTTCGGAAAACTTTTAGATCAAATATTTACCCCCCACTTTCTGTAACGTTTTGGACTTGTGCAAGCCTCTTATAATTTTGTTGGTGGAGAAATGGACAAACGGCCCACTGCGCTTTCACAATCACTTAGTATCTGTCTATGTATATGTAAACATTTTAAGAGAAGATTTGAAATATGTTTTTCGCCCCGGCAAAGCCGGGTACTTCCCGCTAGTAGGCTATTAAAAGGCATGTCATGAGCCTACAAAGTATTCAAAACAATGCAGTCAACAGGCTATGCCAAATACTTTGCATGTGTGTGTATGTGTCAACTTTAACACACTACTATTTCAAGATTTAGACTGGACAAAGTTCGTATCTACATTTCCTCAGTCTCGCGCCGACACCGATGCCTTCTGCTGCTGTATATTTAGAGTTTTATGTTCTCTCTCTCCCCGTGGCCGCGTGGATTTTTCTCCATATCCTCCGGGTGTCTCTCCACATTTAGAATCCACGTGATGATGATGTCACTTCGTTGAGCTATCAATTGTGATGGCCAGATCGCTTTTGAAAAATAGCTACCACATACCTCAGTAGTGGGGCTTTACATTTGGTAAAATAAACATTAACATTGTTGGGATTGACTTGTAGCCCCTTTGGTTCGAGATGATTATTCGTTGTGCCAATTTGGCACATATTTGGTGTTTCTCTAGTCCGTGTGTCATGTACTGCTGTATATATTTACGAGATTACCAAAGGGTATAACAGCGAGTACAATCCATGTTGTGACATTGGAGGTACACACATTTTCAATTGGTTTCAAATATTTTGAGCTTGTGATGGCCAGTTGCTTATGACAAAATAGCGTTATAGTTCAGTGGGCCTACAATTTATATTGCCACAATTGGTGTTAAGTTGTATTGTACTAGCTGTACTACCCGGCTTCGCCCGGGACTTGTATCCACCACGCCCGGCCGCCTTTGTCCCCCCAGTGGCGATGTTAATACGCCACAGCAGTTACTCGTTTTGAGGCTGAGTCTCTCCCTCACCACTCTCCCTCCCTCACCACTCTCCCTCCCTCACCACTCTCCCTCCCTCACCACTCTCCCTCCCTCACCACTCTCCCTCCCTCACCACTCTCCCTCCCTCACCACTCTCCTCCCTCACCACTCTCCCTCCCTCACCACTCTCCCTCCCTCAGCACTCTCCCTCCCTCACCACTCTCCCTCCCTCACCACTCTCCCTCCCTCACCACTCTCCCTCCCTCGCCACTCTCCCTCCCTCGCCACTCTCCCTCCCTCACCACTCTCCCTCCCTCACCACTCTCCCTCCCTCACCACTCTGTAGAGGACGTGAAACTTTGATGAATTTACCTCAGAGTCGCGTGGTGGGTGTCGAGGCCTAGCACCGTGCAGAGCCTCCGGCCTCGCCTAAATTGGCCACCTGGCTGAGGCCGGGTATGGGTGCCGTTCCCCCCCCCCCGCGCTACAATAATACTGTCTAATCGCTATAATTTTATCATCTACCGACCCTATAATAGTAATTGCACACATTGTGGTGGGGGGGGAGTGAAGAGGACGTGAAACTTTGATGAATTTACCTCAGTCACGTGTTAATGCGTGCGCCTATTTTTAACGGGAATTAAAAATGGCGTCCACCCCGCGGCGAAGGCGTCGCTACCCGTTACCAGGGGCAACCGCCGTCCAAAGAAAGCGGCGAAGGCGTCGCTACCCGTTGCCAGGGGCAACCGCCGTCCAATGAAACTGCGTATGGTCCGGCGACACACAGACACACACACAGACAGACAGATTCGCGATTTTATATATATAGATTCTTGTCCCCTTCTGTATAACGTGGCTGGTTGAGATGGCTGTGCCATGCAACTCTAAGTAAACATAAGCCAGGTAAAGGGATCATTGAACCTCTGTAACAGCTGCATCAGTTTCTGGCCTATCTTGGCCTATGTACACCTGGGGGAACAGGAACGGATAGGCAAGCGACCTTGGCGAGTCGCTACTGGCTATAAATTCCTCTATGGCCTCACATATTTGCCACTATTCCCATTGAAACGCTAACCAGATACAATTCTGCATGCTCCCTAATCCACAATTTGCCAAGGGGTCCCTAAGCTCGACAGTGTGCAGTGTTCAATATGGCACTGCTCACCGCACACTTTGAATGCGACCTACTACTTCATGAAGACCGAATTTATCTCTGGCTTTGTTGTTCCTGTGCAAGCCAATTCACGACACGAACACTCGCAGCAACATTAATACAGCACACGATAATCAGAATGATAATGTGTATTCATACTGGAGGAATCCGAGCAACTATGAAGCTATTTTTCACAGATGTCTAGTAGGGGCACGGGGTAAGAACGTTACAACAAACAATACAAAAACATGATAGTGGTAATTGGGGTCAACAAAAAGCTGGGGGGCTGAAAATTATCAGGCAACATTGCATTAGGAAGACAAAGGGGGGTGACAATAGGCTGGAGCCAGGAGGGAGAAGGGGGCCACTGCGATCGAGTCCGCCACACTGCAAAGTCTGTGAAGTGCAGCAGCGGAGTTCTGGTTGGACCCGTGATGAGGAAGAATATGCAGCCTCGACCCGGCTCAATGCCACGTACGCAAAGCTTCCCTCCGTGCCCGGTATGCTGATATGGTGAAGACTTCCCTGGCAGGAGCTCGACCTCCCATCCTTGGGATTACGGCCACGTGGCCTGGAAAAGGAGCCGCTTGACGCAGGTGACAACGGCCCACATTCACGCGAGATGGTGCGGAAGTTACACGGTGCCGGCGTGGACTGGCTGGCAACCGCCAGCAGCCAGGCCACCAAGAGGACACCCAGTGGGCGCGGGGACAGGCAAAAGATGCGGGAGGAGAGCAGCGCCAATCGTCAGGGACAGTGAGGAAGCCATGTGGCATGGGCGAGGGTGCGGCCCAGCGAGGAACTGTTGGCAGCCAGGCTGCCTAGAGGACACCCAATGGGCACGGGATCAGGCAGGAGACGTGGTCGGGGAGTGGCGCCTCCAACCAAACAAATGCGTCGATAAAATAATAAATTAAACAAATAATAATGGTGGAGGACGAGAAGAAGAAGGGGAAGACAGAAGGAGAGAGAGGTAGGGGAGGTAAAGGATGGCAGAGCGAAAGTAGGGATCGAGCAGATGGCTGCTGCTGTCAGCTTGCGTGGCACTGCCGCCACGTTATGCTACCCATGCCCACCATCGTGTTGGTAATTACACGCCCATGGGCTGCACAAAAGCATAGTAGCCTCTTACCATTATCATTTAGATAATCTAGCTCATGCCTTCTAATCACTCCAGCCCAGGTGCCTGTGTAATGACTGAATTGGGCATTAAAGTCACCGAACAGGATGACTATTCTGAGGGGCCACTTTAGCTCACACCTGTGACATAAGGTCATACAAGGCATCTGACTCATCGGCCTTTGCCTGCATTCCTCCAGTTATGTTAATCTTCAATGGGGGCACAAGAAGAGCCACTCTTTGTCTGTTTGGCAGTTTTCTGCCCCGGGTAGAGGATTGTCCACCGCTCATAGTGACTGGAGCCAGAACCAGTCCACTGGACCTGAATTCTCCAGATTCAGCCTCTCTTCCGCAGTGAGCACTCGCACATTCCACGTGGCCACTCGCAGTGGCTTTTGCTATTTGTGGAGGAACTCCAGGAGTGCAGGTTCAGTCTCCTGCCTCCAACAAATGGCGTTTGACCAGAAAACATCATAGACGCCTGCCCTTTTGGGGCCTCCAGCACAAGCTTAGTTGAATCTTTAATTCGTAAAGTCATGGTAAGTGAATTGAAGTTATAGGGGACACCAGTCCCTCGTACACATCCGGAGCCCCCGTTTGTAACTGTGGGGGCTACGAGCACCATCAGGGGAACAGCCAATTGGAATTTGCCTCCTCCACCCCCGCCCCCATGACATTTCTCACAGCCATGACCGTCCTACCATTTGAAGTTAACAGACTAACATGCACAGCCACACTTTACACACAACACGCACATATTTGAATGCGAGACTCAACAACCTAAACACTCATAAAAAGCTAGGACCATCAAGGGTTCACACGATGCACATTATGTACAGTACATGCACCAGACCTACTGTGCATGCACCACAAAGAGCACAGTACATAAACAGTACACACAACACACCTCCAGTTCAGGCACTACAAACGGCACATTGTGTATACTATATGTATAGAGCACACAACTCTTCCTCGGAGGTCCACAATCCAGTGGATATCTGAGCCCAGTCCCAAGCCTGGATAAAAAGGAGGGTCGGGCAAAAGGGTGGTGATACTTCGGCCGTGAAGGGGGAAAAAACTAAAAGGATCCAATGCCACATGACGACCACAGAAGAATGATACCAACTCGAATGTTGCCCCGGTCAACAAGGTCGCTATGACACCATCAGAAAACAAAGCAGCTGCACGGTACTTTTCGGCGATAATCTTAGCCACCTCAAATCGCGTATAGTTTGGAACATCACCCCTGTGTCCCGGAAAACAGACCCATTAAGTTAACCCTGTATAGATGAAACACACATGTTCGATACAACTGTGTTCGCCATGGTTTTCCTGTACATGCACTGCAAAATGCCTGAGGATATGAGGTATACACTTTTATTATTATTTAATTTTACCTTAGTAACCTAAGAGTAAGTATACACTCATTGTCCTTTGAAGCCAGCAGGTTGATGTACATCTTAAGACATTGATTGATATCTGCTACTAAACTCGTATCAATACAAAAGTGAGAATTGAATTGCGATTTTCTGCTCATCTTGCTTTGCTCCTTTCTAACAGGGATCCCGGTCCTCCAAAGGCTGATAAAGGTATGACCACTCCCCCCAGTGCATCTAACATTGGACAAGGTCGAGTGGTTAGTGTCTGTCTCTTGCTGCAGACGTTCGCAGGTGGATCCACATAGCTGAACCAGTTAATGTGGTTGTTGTGTTTATTTCAAAACACACAGTCATGGGGGAGTTTGGATGGAGGGGGGCACGGGGGGAAATGCCCCCCCCCCAAACCGGACACATTAATTAATTTATTTTCAGTAGTTTAAAATTAAGTTAAAAATATCTATTAATTGTGTAACGGGTTCCGGAGACACTTGTAGATGTAACTTCTTTATTACAATACAACACTCCAACAGTCCTGATACTCTGTTACAGCCTAGGTACACAGCCTAGCTACACAGCCTAGATACTCTAGATACTCTACTCTGGCTACGCTCGCCCTCACAAGGTCGTAGAGTCGGGAGTTCCAGAGTCCCACCACTGGCTCTCACAGCATCCCAGAGTCTTCAGATGGCTGGTCGTGGGTCTTGGGTCTTGAGTTTCAACTGGGCCCCGATCGTCCAGGGAGCTCTCCTTTTATGCCTGGTCCAACGAGGGGTGGGGCCGTGTGCGCCACCAGACATCCCACAGAGCACACACAGCCCCCCCCCGTTGGCGGCGCCCAGGGGATTAAGCGCCTGGGAACTCAACGCCTGGCGCCCAGAGGCTTAAGCGTCTGGACCCCCTGGGAACCCAGCGCCTGGCGCCCAGAGGCTTAAGCGTCTGGACTCGCCTGGGATCCCAGAGCCCCCAGCAGCCCCTCCCTTCTTATGTCACTACATTACCCCCCTCTACGTAGCCTCCAGCCGACCCGGCTGTCAAAAAAAAAATACAATTGTACAAGAAATTATTTGTTAACCATCAAAATGAGTGTGTGACAAATCAAGAAAAAAAAATGAGAAGAAAGCGCCTCTCCCCCTCCTGTGGTCACCGATGCAGAACAACACTGTATAAACACATATATGCAGGATGAACGCACGCCCCAATCGCCCACTATACATGATGGCAAGGTGAGTGGCGTCGCGTTGGGACGAGAGTTCGTGGGCGGGGGTCATGAAAATCGTTTGAGTTTTGAGCGAGTCCGAGTGGCAGGTCCATCGGTCGCGACGGAGGCAGGAGGGGACCGACGACCCGCTGTTGCGCTTGTGTCCTGGGTCGCTGATCCCACGGGCAAGCTTGTTCCCGCTTGGTCGGCCGTGGCGGATTTCATTCCCAAGGCACCTGAGGGCGGGACAGCGGGACCTGCCCGAGAGTTAGAAGCAGCATCATCGTGGCGCGGCTCGTCAGACATGTCGCGCTCTCGGCCCCGGAGAAGTGAAGGAGGTGTGTAGGGTTGAATGTAAGGTTTTAGACGTGACGGGTGCACGAACCAACGTCGCTTGCCATGCTGGATCCTGACACACTGCGGGCGGAGAACGCGAATAATAACAACCGGGCCTCTCCAAGGCTTAAGCAGTTTTGAGGAAGTAGCCAATGGTACCTGCGGGCAGTGGAGCCAGGCGCGGTCCCCTTCTACCCAAACGTGGCGGGATGTGTGGAGATTCCGCAACCGCTCGTTGGCAAGCTGACGGGCTTCTGAGTTATTTTGAGCAGCCTCCCGGGCATCCACGAGACGACGCACATTAGCACGGATGTGGTCGGCAATCTTAGCCTTAGGTGCGGGCTGTTTAATGTGCAATTGTACGTCGATTGGGGGGCAAACCTCCCTACCATACATAAGATAGAATGGCGAGTACCCCGTGGCAGCATGGGGCGCCATTCTATAGGCGGCCAAGACACCAGGTATGTGGAGATCCCAATCAGTCTGTGACTCAGACACCTGGTGGCTTAGCATGGAGGTAAGTGTCCTATGTAATCGCTCGACCATACCGTCAGTCTGGGGGTGATATGGCGAGGTGCGAATTTTGTGTGTCCCTAGCAGGTTGCACACATCCCGCAACAGGGTGGAAGAGAAATGTTTCCCTTGGTCGGTCAGCAGGCGTTCGGGAGCACCCTTGTCCAGGACGTAGCCCTGGAAAAAGGCCTCCGTAATGGCTGCTGCAGACTGGTTGGGGAGTGGCCAGGCCATGGCCCATCGGGTAAAATATTCGACCCCAACCAAAAGGTACTTACTACCCCGAGGAGTAGCGGGAAACGGACCCAAAATATCCAATGCGACGATCTCATTGACCCGGGAAACTTTAATGGATTGGAGCGGCGGGCAGGACGGCCTAGCAGGTGGTTTCCGCCGTGCACATTCTGTGCAACCTTGCACAAGGTCAGCCACATCATTTGCCATGCCCGGCCAGAAAAATTCCAATTGGATTTTGGATAGTGTTTTCTGAACACCCAAGTGCAAGAGGCGACTGTGGGTTTCCCACACAAGTCGCCCCCGCAGGGAGGTGGGCACCACCAATGTGTGGGATTGGGACCCCCCATCCCAATGCATGAGGACGCCTTCCTGGATGACATATGATACGGGGCCCCCCTGCCCCCTGTGACCCTCGGCATCCCTAGCGCGGCGTCTCAATTTGAGGAGGGAGACGTCTTCCATCTGAAGACGTCCCCAGTCGTCCAACCCGAGGCCCAGCAATGCGTCCTGCGGAACTTGCGTGGAGGGAGCCCCGTGGTCCCCGACCCCATCCCCGGCCGCGGCCGCAAGGCATGGGGGCGGTACCCCGTCAGGCTGCCTACAACGCCCCGCACCCAAAAAACAAGCACAGCGCTCATTGTTCGGCAGTCGCGACAACCCGTCGGTGTTTCCGTGTTGAATCCCCTTGCGGTAAATGACAGTGAATGCAAAGTCCTGGAGGATCTCGAGCCAACGCGAGAGTTGTCCAGATGGTTGGTCCACTCGCAAGGCGTATTGTAGCGCCGCGTGGTCGGAGCGTACTGTGAAATGCCTGCCATACACGTATGGTCTGTACTGCTTTATGAAAAAAATTATAGCAAGCAATTCGCGGCGCGTCACGCAGTAACGTTGCTCCGCGGGCGACAGCACCCTGCTGCCATAGGCGACGACGCGCTCCACTCTATTGACAATTTGCGACAGCACCCCTCCAATTCCGGTGTTGCTGGCGTCTGTATCCAGAATGAACGGAGTGGTAAAATCTGGATAAGACAGGGTAGGAGCATCGACCAGTGCTTTTCGGACGGCATTGAACGATGCCTGTTCTAACTCTCCCCAGCGGAATTTGACCCCTTTGGCCGTTAATGCATGGAGGGGCTTCGCGATGGATGCGAATCCCGCAACAAATCGTCGATAATATGAGGCGAAGCCGATAAAACTCCGCACCTCCCCAACAGAGGTAGGAGTTGACCATGAGCGCACGCAATTTGTCTTTTCGGGGTCCGTGGCAATTCCTGAGCGGCTGATAATATGGCCCAAATAACAAACCGAATCCCTCATGAGGTGGCACTTTTGCGGTTTGAATTTGAGGTTAGCCGCTCGCATTTTAAGGAAAACTGCCTTCAATCGCGTGAGGTGTTCATCAAAAGTTTTGCTGAACACGATTACATCGTCGAGGTAGATTAGGCAAGAATCCCACTGGAGCCCAGCGAGGACCAGCTCCATCAGGCGCTGGAACGTCGCCGGGGCCGAGTGAAGACCCATGGGAAGTCTGTTGAATTGGAACAGTCCCTGCGGCGTGCGAAAGGCCGTCTTTGGTTTGGATGCGTCATCAAGGGGTAGCTGCCAAAACCCCGAGAGGAGATCCAAGGTGGAGAAGTAATGCGCACCTGCTAAGGCATCGAGCGACTCGTCCATCCTGGGAAGCGGGTAGGCGTCGGCCACAGAAATCTTATTAAGTTTCCTGAAGTCAACACAAAAGCGGAGGCTCCCGTCGTGCTTCTTAACAAGAACGATCGGTGCCCCCCATGGGCTATTTGATGGCGCAATGACATCGGCCGCCAACATATCGTTGACGGCCACCCGTACATGTTCCTTTTCGGCCGGGCTCAACTGGAATGGGTTTTGACGAATTGGAGCGGCATCACCCGTGTCGATGTGGTGGCTTAGCAATTTAGTGCAGCCAATGTCGAATTTGCTTTGACTGAAAACGTCGGCGAAATCGCTCAGCAGCGTGCGTAATTTAGCATGCTGTAATGGTGACAAATCGGCAGAAGTGGAGCAAAGCGCGTCGAGCCATCCTGTGTCAGGACCTGGCTTGGCAACGGAAGAGAACTCGCCCCCTACGTGACCCACGATCACATCTTCTGGCGGGGCTGGCGTCGCGTGAGCAAGCACCATTCCCTGACAGATAACGGCCGTTTCCAATCCCGCGTTAAGGACCTGGATAAAGGGGTCATGGTCGCTTCGCACGAGCGTTTGTGCACACACGAGGTCCGACACCCGCTCAGCTGAACGCGAAGGCCCGATTACAGCACCCCCCATGAACGCGTCGTAATCAAGGGGTTTACGAAACCGGAGGGGAACTAACATCTGAGAGCCAGGAGGAATGTGAATTGTGCACGCCGCCAACGCCTGCACCGTCGTAGATGCGGAGTGCAACCGAGTGGGTGTGGGTAGGAAGGCCATGCGTCGGCCGGAGGGGAGCTCAATACACCCTTTGTTAATGAGAATTTTAATGGGCATCTTCCCCAAGAAATCTGTTCCGAGGAGGCACGGAACAGCGAGGGTTGATGAGACCAAAATGGGCCCAACTAATTGGACGTCAGCAATGCGGATCTGAGCATTGATCCGTCCGGTGATGCCCAACGAACCCCCATTTGCGGCATAGCATGGTACATCAACTGGCTGCAAGGGACGGCATGTATCGGGCAAAATGTTATAAATTATGTCTGAAATGATGGTCGCCGACGCACCCGTATCGATCAACATACGAACATCAACGCCCTCGATGGAACCCACTACGGCAGAGGACCCTGCCGCAGCGGCAACGACCCTATGGGCCAACTCGGACCATTGACCCGGTCCGAGCGCCCGGTTGTTCAATGATGGGCCCGAATCCCCCTCCTCTGAAGCATGACCCCCCTGTGTGGTGTGAGGGTGCGTGCTT